GATAAAATTTAGTTAAGGGTGTTTTATCATCATCATCTAATTATGTGTTGAAAGCAATTGTGGTCATTATTTATGTAACAGTTACATTTGATTAAAACATAGAATGAACTGTCACTGTTTTAGATAACACTCAAATTGACAATGAAAGTGAAATTAATACCCATGTCCCAATCTGAAAGAATGTGCAGGAAATTGATGCAGCTACTGTATGTCCCACATATTCAGTTAATCAGAATCTGTCAAGAGTTATTTATACAAGAGCAGGCAGTGTGTTGTGATTATAACAGACCCATTTATTCGCATCAGCATATTATTCATTAAAGTACAGTATTTTGGGTTATACATTTTTGAGGAAAAAGAGTAACTTTGTAAAGTTGACCAGAAGATTAACCTGTCCAAAAAAAAAAAAATAAATAAATAAATAAATAAATAAATAAACTAATAAATATAATATCTACCTGAGATTTAGGTAATAGATAATTTGATCTACACCTGACTTCTTCAAACTATCATCATTTTAAATGAATATCTGGTATTATCTTAACTCTTAGGACAAGCTTTCAAATATGACTGATACTATGTCTTTCATAATATAAGTATATATTTGGTTGTGAATAACTAATTGAGGAAACAAAGAAATTTATAATCATTAACATTAATCATTGTAATAATCGTCGACAATATCATGACGATATCGTATCGATATCGATCCTGATCTGTCATTTTTTTTTCAAGTTAATGTATAACATAATTATAAAAGACCAAAAGCGATGTCGATATTGATTCATTTTTTATATTAATAATTAAATAAACACATGATGAGGGGTTGTTATTGTCAGGGGTTAAGGTTAGGGTAAGGTTTTAGATTAAGGTTAGGGTGAAGGTTGATAAAACAAGTCTTTAACAATCATGATTCGATATAGATACGATATCGTCGATCGACGATATGGACAGCAGGACAAACTTAGTATTTAGAAAGTACACAAGCACAAGTCTTGCATAAAGAAAAAAAACAAGAGCGATGACAAAAATCAGTCGATATCGATATCGTCGATATCAACGATATCGATTGCAATTACAATTTTCCTTAATGAAAAGTAAACATAGACACACATATACCACGACAACTACGGTACCAAGGGTTTAGCGAACATGACGATATCGACACTATTAGGAAAACTTCATAAAGTGATTGTATTCAAGTTACTCACATATTAAAAAAGCAACAGCATTTTTGGGGGTTGCGGGTTGGGACCATAATCCATTGAACAATTATGATCCGAAATGATATCGTGACAGAAAGGAAAACTTCGAAGTAATACACATATAAGTATAAAGAAATAATGTAGCATACTATAAAAAAGTAATCTGTCGATATCGTAACTACATCGTGTCTTGGACATAACTCTAATCATATAGGGATATACACTACACTGTTTCAAGGAACACATGCGTCACCTTCAATAGCAACATGGGAATATAATAAAAGTATAGAGTTGTCATCTGATAAATTTTGTATCTTAATTTCATACGTAAATAAGACCAATTAAATTTGAAAATATTTATACCATGATTGAGCAGTTGTCAATGTAAAGATCACGCATTCATCAGTAGCTCTTATTTTTGGGTATTGCAATCAAGAATACAATCGGAAAATCTCAGGCATTTCCAACGAGCAGAAAATAACCTGGAATGCTGGAATAGATTACGGAGTATGAAACGGAAATGAGAGACCTTCCCCCCTTTACCGATTTAACATAAAATAGGAAAAAAACATTTGTCTGTTTTTTTAGCAGATTTTTAGGCAATCAACAAGACTAACTGAATTTAGTCTTAAGAGTCACGTTAAATATTGCACTAGCTGGTGCTTGATAACAAAACTCAAACTCATAAAAAAAAAATCAGACTCCAAAATTTGACTCCAAACTCCACTCCAAACTCCACTCCATAACTCCACTCCAAGCCTCCAGTCCATGAATTACACGGTGCCCAGTTGGGTCATAAGAGTGCTTAACTCAGAAAAACAGGACTTTAATTTCTCTGAAATCAAACCACAGGGCAGGAATACAGTGTGCAAGAACATGCATGCTTTCATGGTGTAAATTTTCCAAGATGTTATGTTCATGAGAGAAAGCAGGTATGCACTGTGCGATATCACAGTGCACTCTAACTTCTTCTATCTTATCTTGACGTACAAACATTGCATCATCATAAAATCCTACAGGTTCAATTAAAAATCTGCAGGGAGCAATCATATCTATACTCGAGTAGAAAAAAATTCCACCTCAAAAAAAAGAGCAAGCCATACAAAAAAATTAAAATTTGAGCTACCAAATTTGACAAATGAGAGTTTTTGTGTTTGTTTGACGTCCTCTTTTCCAAGAGGATAAAGTCTAAATCCAGGAATACATTCACTTTGATTCTTTGTCAATCTGATTTATACAATTCAAGTTGGAATTCTACAGCTGTGTAAACTATAGATCAACTGTCAACATGTCCCTTATAGATAAACTAACTAACAATTCAGACTTTAATAAGTTTATAATTCTATCAAGTATAAATCTGGCTTTGGTTTTCACCTTTAGAAAAAAACACTATCAACAATGGTATACCCATAAAAAAGCAACAAGGAGAATTTTTCAGAAAAGCAAAAAAAGTTCTATTTTTTAAAAAAACTACTGAAAACAAATTTATTTTCTCCAATTAGAAACTCCTAGAACTGAATGAACGTCATTTGTTTTTGAAGCCACACACTTTACTACGACGTACTGCTAACTGTGCCTGATTAAATTTTCTTAATGGTTGTAAATTTCTGTCAACAAATTCTGAAACTTGTCCTTGATGGCAAGCTTTGATATCACACTTTGCCTTAGCAGTGCCATTACCTGAATATTCTGTAATCTTCAATGTCGTCTCAATAAGTGTATTGTAGAATTTGTTTGTGTGACATATGTCAAAACAGGGTGCCTAGACCAAATAAAAGACCTCTATGACATGAATTTTTCAGGGAGTGGTATTTTGTTAATTTTTATCTCAGTTAAAATTTTCAAAATAACTTCATACTAAGTATGGAAAAAAAAAGAAGGAGTTATTAAGTACATTTCTGTAACAAAAAATGTGTTTACATTTTTTGAAGTCTTATGTCAAAAATATTGCTACCAGATGAAAAAAAAAACACTTTGTTTTCATTTGGTCAATAATTAGCTGGATTGTCAGTTATCTAAATAAGTGACCACAGACCAAAGGTTTCATTTTCTTCACCGCTTAATCTTGAGATATGATGCAGCTGCACATACAAACTCATCCTATCAGATAGATAGATAGATATTTACATTTGAACTGAATCCAGTGGGTCACACTCAATTTGCATATTCCGCCTTTCCCGTATTCCAGACTTCCAAAAACTTATAGAAAGCACAGAGATTTATGGCGTGTTTATCAGCTAGTTTTTTATTCCCCAATATAAAAGCCATCACTTCAAATTATGTAAATTTTATGGTAAGTAGATATACTCACATCCATTTCATATAGATATGGTTCCAAATTTTTAATTCATTTTTATAGTCAGTGAAACTCTTGTATCACGAGGTGTCCAATTTCCAATTACATTCACTGAAATGTTGGACTTAGGAAATTCACAGAATGCCAAAATCTGATATAGTAATTAAAATATATGTCACTTTTTGAATATTTTTATTGGAAAAATGAGAAAAGCTATTGACAGAGGATAAAAAACATCAGAATAAGGAGTAGCTATGTTGTGAAATACATATTTGCATTGCATTCAAAATCGTGTCCAGTCATTATCAAATGCTTGAATGACTGGTATATGTTGCTCCTCTTTTGTAAGAGATTTGTATGGAGGTGAAAATGAGAAAGGGATTGTCGCGTGTTACAATCAGACCATAGATGCCTTGTGGCATTTTAGGTTACGCGTCTCTTCTGATTAGTCTGTGTATCAATGTCTTGCTGAAATCATCAACATTTCATTCTAAATATTGAGCACCATGGCTATTTGTGGCTTGAGGCATTACAGCTATTTAAACTGATATCAAAATGTCATTGCTATTGTAGAAATATCAATAAACCCTAGCCTTCTTTGATGTAGATATCTCCATGTATTAATTAACAAGGACTGGTCATCTGGTAGATAAGTCAATACCACATTTCCACAGCTCATTATCAGATCTGATATGGCAGTTGTTTGTCTTGGAATCAATTTCTTTAACATTTTCATTATAAAAGTAAGAGTTTCCTTATTGCAGAGATCAGTACACAAGATCTCTACAATGATTTGGTCAAGTGAAGCCTTATTAATGTTATTGGTGCTGATCAAGTGACAATAATTTTTATCAGATGTTTTGTAATGGAAAATCCCACTATGTCTAAACCCATACTAACCCCCACTGCTTTCTCCCTCCCCAGAATATCTGTACAAATAATTTAAATCCAAAATGGCCCAAACACCAGTAAATTATTGACAATAAGATAAACAGATTTTCCCTCCTAACTAATTGACCCTGGGTACACACAAATTAGGGTTGTCACCCTATGAAGTCGGTTACTTGGTAAAGCCAGCAGGCTTCTAATCCATGTCATAAAAGTTGACGTCGTAAAACACAGAGAGGGTCGTCACTCAGCCTAGGCCTGGTTCAACTCTGACTTGTCAACATATGCACTTGAACTATTTGTTTTTCTTCAGATTTTCTGTTGACTTTTTCAGGTAAATCATAGACCCTTCTCTTGGTTCTTAGAGAAGAAGCTATGGTTGAAAGGATTAGGAAGAAACTGGTTTATGAAAACATAAAAGGATAAATAATATTTACCATATCCTGTCTAAGAGGCATACATTTTGTGTCCTGAAGAGGTTTTTTTTATTCAAATGCTTCATGCATTTCATTACATGCTACCTGAATTCACACTCAAGCAAATTATTAGGTCCATTTTCTCTGTGATGTACCTTTTTTCTATGTATATAGGAAGTAAAGAGGTAGACCTACCTGAGAATTGGAGGTGGAGGTTTGCCTGTACGTCTGTCTGCCAGCTGTGACTCGTCTTCACCATCAACAGGACGGTGGTCAGCAGACTTAGAATCTTCATCACACAGAATTTATTTCTTTCCATCCTATAAAAATTAAAGTGTTTTTTCTATCTAAAGTCAGTTTACTGTTACCTGAGGATGTCAAACTAGTTCCCTACAGGTATTGTAGTAATGACTTCTAAATCCTTTGATCTCTTCTTTGTCTTAATTACTCCAGTAATTAGTTGAACTTATGTTTTGACACCTATCAAAATGGAATCACTGCTGGGAAAGTGAACTATGATTCACACCAGTTCTATAACACCTCTGTGTCAAACTCAGCACAATTCCTTGACCAAACAAAACACTACAGTAAACTGTACACTGTAGGTCTGTAACACAGTACTCCTCTCTAGGTCATTTAATAATCTTCTAAAAATCATAAATCAATCACAGGTAACTTATTTCTCCAATATTCTGATCAATTCAAATTTCACTGAATGTAAATAAATGTAAATAATCACTTTTCTTCAAGAAAACAGTTCCACATGTACAACTGATCAGCAAATCACTGTGTATACACAAGCAACCAACTCTGCCATGGTATGATCTTTGATAGTAAAACTTGTTGTTATGTTGTAAGCTGTGATTGGCTGGCTTGACATAGACCACGCCTCCCTTTAGAGCCAACACACTCCAAAGAGTTACTGCCATGCATACTAAAATGCTCTCCCAGTATATGGTTATAAAACAAAACATAATTATACAAAACCCCAGGACTCAATTTCTTATTATAAATGCAACTTTTTCTCCAGACTGGACAATCTTTTATTATCTCATCTGTTCACAATTTGCTGATTATAAAATAATTTGCACCTGTCAATTTCTCAGGTAGAAAGGAGAGAGTTCAGTACTATCCAACACACACACACATCAGGGGGGTAGAGTCAACAGGTAATAGATATGTAAGGGAATTTGCATACAAATATGAAAACAGAAAACCTCTTTGAATTAAAAGACAGTGACACAATCAAAAGCTGGGACTAAAGCTCCCTGGGGGTAAGGTAACTCTCGGTAAGAAAGTAAAAGATATTGGACACCATTAAATACGATCAATCCATTTGTTTTGTTTAGATTATTTTCTACAGATCAAATGATTTAGCAACCAAAGCAGACCGTCAATAGATTTTGTAGGGGGTTAAAGCATATTAGTGCCGTTGAGAAATCACTACAACTCTTTTTGTCACATTTCCAATTTTCAGTCGATTTGTTTACTTCCACAGTACTCTTGACTTTTGTTTGTGATATCCTATTTTTAATGTAGGGCTATATAAAATTAAGTCTACTTCAATACTTACAGAAATCTTACTGCCAATCTTAGGATTATCTTTTGAAACTGAAGTTTCTACAATATAAATCAAAAATATGTATATTAATTTGCTAAAAGTTTAATTAATGGTCTTTAAAAACTGGAAAATTAATTTAATATGTATATCAATTCAAAAGTACTTTTTCTGATAAATGTTTAATAAAATTAAAAAATTGTACATTTAATATGACATTACCTTACTCAAATTTAGTGCTAAATAATTTTTATTGCAAAAGACGTATTTATCAGAAAGGAAGTTCTAACGTCTTAATTTAAATGGTGCTATATTTAATGATGAAAACTTCCCATAGATATTGGTACATTGGTGTGCTTTCCTCTTATAAATACAAGTGGGATCTTATCCTTGTTTTTCTGCATAAATTTAAGAGTTAATACAACTTTTCTTTTTACAACTACGTCAATCCCCCAGTCATACGTAACTGATGCATATTAAAACCATTGCATAAACACTTCACAACTGACGCTTACACAGCAAAGGTGCCAAAAAAACTACTGCCAAGTTTTTTTTTTCCAAGTGCTTTTTTATTGAATTCAGTATTCTAATTTAGTAACGCAGTTGACAAACTTTGTATGAATATTAATTCGATAAGCAAGAGATTGTTGGCAATAAAATGACCCTGTCCTATTGTAATGAAGTGTTAATTAAATTTGGTTCCAATGATAAGATCTGTCTTGGAACAAGATTTTATGTGCCCAGACACTCTGCATTCAGATGTCTCTAGAGTATACTATATTACAGAGCAAGTCTCACACTTTTGGCACAAATAGAATAAAATAAACTCTGTACATGTGCAATGACCTCAACTACACTATACTTCTCCAAGAGTACAATGTTTATTAGGTCAATTATCAACAGTGTTTAAAGAGATCCAAATTCTTATCACCAGGCTGTATGACATGCCAGACAGACTGTGCCATTGTGAAAACTTGGGTATGAAGAACTGGGGATCAAAGAAGAACTCCCAGTGGGATGAACAAGCACTTTCAGGAAGAGCAATGGTAACACATGGTGCTCACACTGGGCTCCTACAAGACTGGGGTCGCCATAGGTGATAAAAAGTAGGACAGAAGGAGGAGATATTTATAATGATAACCAAATGACACATATATAGAGTCTCTGTAGGTATGACAAATTTAGGAAGTACACGTATATAGAGTCTGTAGGTATGAAAATCTAGAAATATGTCCATAGGTCATGAATGCCCCACCGTGGTTATACTAGTAATGCAACATGAAAATTTGTGTATTAGTGTATGAAGTTTGATGAGAATATCTTGAATAATTTCTTTAAAATTGAAATTGAAATCTAAAAAATTGGATATAGATGATAAATTCTCACCAAAAATATCATGAATGGTTTCTTAACATTAACCGAGCTAAACATTAATTTAAGAAAAGTGAGGTCAAGGTCAAAGGTCAAGGTCAAAAAAATGTTGAGGCAGTTGAATAGCTTACCTCAGTATGTATCAGCATATGAAGCTTGATAACACTATCTTGAATGGTTTCTTTAAAACTGAGCTAAACACTAATTTAAAAAAAGTGAAGTCAAGGTCAAAGGAAAGGTCAAGGTCAAAAAATGTTGATGCAGTTGAAAAACTAATATCAATATGTATCAGCATATGAAGTTTGATAAAAATATCTTGAATTTCTTTGAAACTGAGCTTTGAAGTATGCTAAATGCAAAGCATGATGGAAGGACAGACTGAAGGACAGAAGACGGACATGACAAACTCTATATGCCCCGGCCATATTCATGGCAGGGCATAAAAACAAAGTATATAGTCTCCATAGTAATGACAAAATGGCACGTTTATAGAGTCTCCATAGTATGACAAAGTAAAAATACTCTTTGAGGGAGGAACAAGTCTCTGCCAAAATAAATAGGTCACAAATTAATAAATAGTCATTTCCTTTCAAATTTTTTCCATCAGCAACGATTTGTCGCAAATTTTGCCCCATACAGTATACTGGATTTACTTGAAATTTTTTATCTCCAACTTCCACATAAGTGAGTAGAGGGTCACTCTACAATGAATCAGGTTGTTTTGAATTCTTTTGATACCAGAACCAATTAAAAGCATTAAAACAATCTTCAGCCACAAAAGCAATGGAAGTTATTGAATCTCTATAATTAGATGGATTTCATCATTTTCATTTAGCTAATGTGACAGAATGGTTGCTTTTGAAATACATACACTGAATTGTGCTATTAAGTCTGGTGTCAAGATTTTCTATAAACAGAGAAGTATGATCCAAATGGGCATTTAATTACTGCACAACGAAATACAATTGTACTCAAGACAACCATACAAGATAAGGGGAAGAAAAAGTTGTTTGAGTGAGGTCCTAAAACCACAAAAGATACTAAAAGCACAAAATATTTAATAGATATAAATTCTAGTAAAGTTGCATGTTGATGATATTGTATATTACTCAATCATGAAACATAAGTAATCAAAGATTACAAAGCTCACTTCAATGAATCTTATCTTTAAGTAAGGCAAAGTCTCACACATAACAACTGGTGGTAAACATTCCTAGATGCATCATTTATACAAGTTTGGTCTGTGTATGATTTTAAGGTACTTGGGAATAGACTAGCTCCAAAACTTTTCTGTTTATTATGGAATACATAAGATTCAACATCCAAACCACATCTGGTAGTGTGCATCCCTATATGCATCAGCCATTCACGTATGGTCCAGGAAGGCCTCATAGTTACTTAAGAATGAGACCTGCTCCAAAAACTTTTCCCAGGTCACTCATCTAGAAAATGTAGATCAAATCCAGCATCCAAAGGAAGCATCTCTTCAATGATCATCTATGCAAGTAAAGTCCGAGTAGGCCTTATAGTTTTTTGGTAATGGACCTGCTCCAAAAAGTTTTACCAGGTCACTCAATTAGAAAATGTAGGTCAAATCCAGCATCCAAAGAAAGTCTAGTAGTGTGCATCTCTTCAATGATCATCCATGCAAGCTTAGTCCAGGTAGGCCTTGTAGTTTTTTGGTAATGGACCTGCTCCAAAAACTTTAACCTGTTTTCTCCTCTGGAAAATGTAGGTCAGATTCAGCACACAAATAAAGTCCAGTAGTGTGCATCCCTAGATGCATCCTCCATGCAAATTTGGTAACCATCTATAGTGGTTTTAGAATAAAATCTGGTCCAAAATTTCTAAACTAGTTACCCATCAGGAAAATATAGGTCAGAACCAGCATCCAAACCAAGTCTGGTAGTGTCAACCCTACAATAGGTGCATCATCCATGCAAGTTTGGTCTAGGTAAATCTAGAGTTATACTGGAATGAGACCTGCTCTAAAAACTTTAACCTGCTCAAAAAACACTGAACTGGTAATTTTTATAGAAAATACTGGCTGAAAATGCAGCATTGAAACCTGAATGGTCATCCATGCAAGGGCAAAGAAATACTTTATAGTAAGAAATTCAACCTGGGATGCCATGGTATTACATAAGCTCCCCCAACTTCATTGAGGTGGGCTAAAAATTGATGAACTTAATAATCTTCATATATGAGGAAGAATGCAATGTGCTTATCGGGTAATTATTTATTTCTCTCAGAGACTAGTATATTTGATTTTCATGTTCATAGCTATGTACCATCATACCCATGAAGTTTTTAACCTTTTTTGACAGTTAAATATATGAAAAATAATTCTGAAGCTACATTTAAATTGTGTCAAAGGTTGCATGTATTTAAAATTTGTGTCAAGGTTGTATCTATTTACATGTAAAATTTACTTGATGTTTCATAATAACAACATAAGTATGCTCCAACACTTTACTGCATAACAAAATACTTGTTACGCCATGTGACACGGCATTTACATTAGCAGATCGGTGTAGCCAGACATGCATTTTACCTGCTCTTGGCCCATTTTGTAAAATAAAAGCCTTATTTTTCCTGTGCACTGAGTGTGGGGCAGTGTACAGGGTACACTACATTTCCTATCGGACCATTTTAGTGAGTCATTCGTGGGGTTTTTAATCCAAGTGCAGGTAAACTAGCTGCATTACAAAGAGCCACCAAGATTTCGATGAAAATCAAACTTCAGATTAGTTGCTGAGTGTTTAAACACTGGGGGGGACTCTTGGGGAATAAATCTGAATTTGAAAGGCTTGAGGACATGGTTTTATCAATACCCCCCAGTCAAATTTAATATGAGTCATCAAATTTAATTTTTGAGTTTATTCATTTTACAATATCACTAA